GAAATATACCTGCTCCGGCTGGCGCGAGTTGTCAAATGGAATCACCCTCCTGGATCCCCGAGGGTTGTCTTTGTTGCCAGTGATTCCCCTCAACCAGTTCTCTAAAATATCCTCGCTGACCTCCTCCGGGTGGATCCGAGGGGTATCTTCGAGCCCAGAGTACATCCACATCGGATGGTCGCGCGATTGAAGAGGTTGGATACGTCGACCGAGAAAGACCTCCAGCAGATCCATCCCGGTCACTCCGTCGTGGACAAGCTGGACGACCCGTTCGACCAGCTCCTTGACATGCGCCTTCTCTTCTGGAACTACCTTCAGGGGAGCAGGCTTCTCCACTCGAGCCAAGGAGAAAGGAGGAAGTCCAGTCGACTGGCCAGGGGTTGGTTGATCCTTGCAGTAAAACCAAGTCGACTGCCAGCCCCGGACCGAGTCAGGAAGGATCATCGCTGGGAAAGTACTCTTTCTCCTCATCTGGATCCCTAGACCACCGCACATCTGGATCACCCGTCCTCTCGTCACTCGACTTGGCCTTTTTAACCGACTGGGAATGGCAAGTGTGTGTTTGAAAAGCCCCCAGTGCTGTCGACAGCCCAAGAAGTTTTCGCACATGGACACGAAAGCGGCCAGATAGACTATGGTGTTCGGAGTGAAATGGTGGAGCTAAGCCCCAAAGAAGTTCAAAAAACTCCGGAAGAAAGGGTGGGGAGGCAGCGAGAATCTGCGATCTACGTGGGTTGCTAAGAGGACACACTCACCCTCTCTGGCTGCGGCTCAGTTTCGTCCCTCGGGAGCCGAGCCGACTTGTGGGGGATCAATCCCCCCTCCACCAGGTCGTCGAGGTCGTCCCGCGTGATTGCCGAGCGGATCCAGTCGCCCTGGATCCAGCCCGCCGGCAGGCCGAACCTCGACGAGGATCCGCCCCGGCTGGTCCGCTTGCCCTTCGCCTTCGCGGTTGCCTTCTTCGCGCGTTCCAACGCCGCCGTCTTTCCCTTCCCCATGGTGGCGGATCGAGCTCGAGCGGAGGTCCGGCGACGAGGCGGAAGCGAGAGTGGCGGAGGGATCGGGAGAAAGAGAAGAGAGAATGGGAGCGTGCGGAGCAGAGGCCTGGCCCGAGACCTTTTATAAGGCCTTCCACCGAGTGGCTGACTAGTGGACCCAAGCGATCTAAACAAATCCCGCAACAGTCGCGCGTGCAGTACGTGGTGAAAAAGGTGGCGCGGGGATCGAGGAGACTTACCTAATCCGTCCCGATAACCTCGTTTCCTCCCATCTAGCGCGATTCCCAAAATTCGAATCCCGTGAGATCCACGGAGAGCGGAACAACCTGTCAGACTGAAGACAAACACCCTCTACATCATCATTCGGAATTCAACCATGAAGGTTCACTCGACAACAACCAAGAATGGACCAAGGCGATTGAGAAAGGAGTCGACGTCGTCTCCTCAACTCATTGTTTCAAGACAAGGCATATTCATAGCACAAAGAGTGGGTCGGAAGTGTTCTCGACCCCTTCCTCACTCAAATCCTGATCCATTCAGGGGCTAATGATGAAGCTATGTACCTAGGGTAGGGTCATGGACCTGTCCAGCGTACCCTCCCCAAGGACATCTTTACAAAGAATCAGAAGCAGTCGAAGAGAAATCATCATCCACTCGACCGTGGAGATGCGCTCACTCAACCACCTTGAAGACACTCGACCACTAAAAGATGAGGAACCCTCCACTCTGCAACGGTTAAGACTTAAACCATAGCATTATGAGCATTTATGACATTTACAGTAGACGTTACCTGTAACGCCTTTCCTTTATGAGCATTGAACTCTGTGTAACGAAGGGGAGCTGGGGTCCTGGCACACTCTATATAAGCCACCTCCCTCCTCTGGGACAAGGGTTCACACTTTTGTAAACACACACACACGTATAATCCAGTCGACCGCCTCAGGGCACCGAGACGTAGGGCTGTTACTTCCTCCGAGAAGGGCCTAAACTCGTAAAACTCGTGCGTACAACTACTCTATAGCAAGGATCTTGCCTCCTCGTACCTACCCCCCATTCTACTGTCAGTCTTAGATCCACGACAGGCGACGCGAGAGGAGAGGGGAAAGTTCCCTGTCTGGTAGCAGAAATCTAGCACCGTCATTTATGTCTCCGACGATGAGAACTTCAAAACATGTTTCAAGGTGTATCGACACACACGACTATCTTCTCGACATCAAGACCAAGATTTACAAGAATTATTGAAACAAGGTCGTGAGTATACGGGTTTTGCGACTCTTGTTGGATGGTAAAATGGATCCAGACTGCTTGGTCCGGACGGATGCGGGCTTGAGGGTGAGATGCCCAATACAAACATATCTCCATGGTGAACCGATGCACGTGTTATGTTATTCTAAATCAATCTCGCGCCAGATAAATAAAACTGATGATTAGAGGTGAACGAGACGTACTCCTTCCCTGATGAGTTCAAAATTGAACTGTACGGTCTGTTTGCTGATCAGTACCATCCACTCTCCTGCTTTTATACGCGAAAGGAGTGAAATTAGCACATGCATGGTCGATATGTCCGAGTGGTTAAGGAGACATACTTGAAATCTGTTGGGCTTCGCCCGCGCAGGTTCGATCCCTGCTGTCGACGTATCATTCCTAGTTTTTCTTTTTCCTTTTTTTCCTTTTTTTTCCTATTCCTTTCCCTTTCCCCCTTTTATTGTCAGACCCAATAATAACTGCATAGGAGAGACAGATATGAGAGTGCAGGCACGGCAACGGTACGCACGCTCACTAATGCACAGTGATATACATCATTCTAAAACAAAATCCCAGCACCTGATAAAACCAATCATGGATGGAGCAAACAAATTTCCTTTTGTTACAAGTCAAAACTGATTCGTAGTACAAATCTTGTCACTCACCAAAGTCGCTACTCACTAGCGCTATTCTTTTGTTCCTGGAAATGAAGATCGAAGCCCTGCCAATGGCGAGCAAGTCGGTGTTCATCTCACGATCATTGTCACTAATGCACAGTGATATACATCATTCTAAAACAAAATCCCAGCACCTGATAAAACCAATCATGGATGGAGCAAACAAATTTCCTTTTGTTACAAGTCAAAACTGATTCGTAGTACAAATCTTGTCACTCACCAAAGTCGCTACTCACTAGCGCTATTCTTTTGTTCCTGGAAATGAAGATCGAAGCCCTGCCAATGGCGAGCAAGTCGGTG